TCAAAAGGTTGAGCAGTCGAGGATGTATCACATATATATATTATATGTATATTATATATACATATATGCGATTATGTTTCAGTGAAACCTCAAACCAACTAAAAGTTTTGCTTCTCAGATTGCTGTACAAAAAGTATTATTCTTCCAATGGTAACACAATCGAACCTCCAGTAACATTTAATGCGAATACTCAAATACCATTTTAAAAAGTTAATCTAGTCATAAAAAGTGCTGTTCATTGAATATTCCAACGTTTTCTGAATATTTGTTTGTATTCGCTATTCAACAATAATTCTAATAAAATTAACTATTTATTTATTTTACATTTGTAACTTAGAATTAATCCTAAACCAAAAGATTTGTTACATATCAATATATTTTCAAATATTAAATTGAAGTTGTGTTTTAATTTTACAAAATGATGATGCCTTTTCGTAGCAAACCATTTGTTAAATACAATATACTTGTATATTGTCATTATATACGGGTTATATACTTTTTATGAATAATTTATTTATCTCTATTTTAGAACAATTTTAATTAATTTAAATAAATTGTCTTTTTCCCAATACCGCGCTTAGTACTATCAAAGTATATGTATATCCAGAGCAACGAAGGCCTTCAGGCTGAATAAAAAGTATATGTATATGTAGCCCGGCTATCTACTAATCTTCTTTTATGAGGAAGTAATCGCCTTCGATTTGACTTTGTCAGCATACTTACACCGCAGAGTGTGTGTCCAGCTATTCTATACCCGGTGGGCCAACACTTCAATCAAGCAACATTTACAATCGACTGCCTTTTCGTGAGGATTGTTGGCTTCCTCTCCGCCATCTACCTGGCTTCCAAATGGAAGACAGCACATCGACGATGGTCGACGGCCACAAAAAAGCAGCATTGACAAATAATAAAATAGCTCGCTAAATGTAAATAATACTGCTGTACTCGAATACTAAAACCGGGCAGTTCGATTCCGAACCAACAACAACAACAACAAATAGTAGTGAACATCCATAACAGTTGTTGCCGCCAGGCTTGCTGCCTTCACAGCCAGCCTTTTGCTGGCCAATTGAACATTTCGGAAATTGGGAATTTCGCACTTGATGATGGCCAACAAATTGGCCCACAACCAAGAGACACGAATAGGCCAATGCTGGCAGCAATCGTGCGTACGAAAGCGGGCAGTCTGTTTGCGAGTTTGGAATCAAACACAATCGAATTGGAGGGAAAGGACAGAGGAGAGCGCAGATCTGTGTAGCTTTGAGGTTTTATCTTTGGATGTTTAACCGATGCTCTTCAGCTCCTCCTTTCGCTCTCTTACCATATATCCTTTGGGCTACAACGCAGCTGATGACAAATTTAATTTCCCTGTTTTAGCAACGAACTTAAACTATTTTGTTCCACGCTGAACACTTAACATCGCTTGAGGAGATAAAAGTTGAATGCTATTTTCACTTGTTTAAATATTTATCATTAATTTTATCAACAAATGAAGCTGTCGAAGAAGTAGAAAGAAAATATAAAACTAACAACATATTTTCAAATATTAAATTGAAGTTGTGTTTTAATTTTTAAAAATGTTATTATATATTATCATTATACGAGTTATATACTTTTTATGAATAATTTATTTATTTTTATTTTATTATTATTATTTTATTTTATTTTTTAGTAAAATTTTAATTAATTTAAATAAATTGTCTTTTTCCCAATACTGCGCTTAGTACTATCAAGAAGCATTATGTTGCTAATGGATTTAGCTGATTTTACGAACTCCATTTGTGTCTTTAAGATAATTTTGGAAGGTCTGCGCAAAACCAATGAGTCTGAGTGCTGCTTCATCTCTGCATCTGCAGAAACTATTTGATAAGAAGTCCAGGATATTGTCCTCGAGAATAGTCGTATTGGAGAGAGAGTTAGAGAGATGGAGAGATAGCAGAGAATCTCAAAATTAATTAAGCATCGCGGGTTGTTTTCTTTATATTTCTCACATGATAATGTTTTCTGTTTCAGAAACTTAAATATCCGCTCCAGAGAACGCGCCATTAGTCTATAGATACCATTAGAAGTTATTTTCTGAAGGAACTAAAGCCTATCGGCCGACCCAGGCCTATAACAAGTGTATTAGAAATTGGATTAACCGTTGGCATAATTCTATTAGTTAAAAACAGGTGATAATAATAATTTGTTTTCAAATAAAAAATTAAAAAAGAAAAGGTTGGCGGCGTCCAGTTGCCCTCAACATTTTACTTATACTGCCTTGCTGGGCTATCTCGTTAAGAGATGTACAGCAGTCAGTGATGATTCGGGAGTGGTTTGTATTACAATATAGTGCCTTAGCCCTTAATCACATGCAAATTTAACGTCTTAAATTCGCGCTATATTAATTTAATTTTGGTTGAGTTTCAATCGCGACAATTAAATCTCAACAACTGGGGGGTGAGTTAGTAAAGAAATTCCTAGGATTTTGTGATTCTCTAATTAATTCTTTTTACCACAAGACCCAATAAACAATTACTGAATTTCGAAGAAAATATATAGGCCTTATCTTGGAATTAATGAAACCTGGACCCAGAACACATTTGCAAAATAAATTAGCATGAGTATTATTAATGTTCTTTCATTCAATACATTCATTCATGCTGTTTTAAAGTATTTCTGTATTGTTTTTTAATGTTTTTAAGATGCGCTAAGTCAGAATTATCTTCTGCAATACGCCTTTTTTTATAAACTACGCGCTTTTTTTCTACATTAAGTGAATAACTGGCGACTAAAAACGATTGTAACTATTTATATAACTTTTGCAATTCAATCGCACGAATCGCATAATTAGATATCCAATAGATGTTTGCATCGCCATCTGCACTCCCATGTGCGTGTAATCTGATTGTGAATCCAAGCTGATGCAATTTACGAATGCAAATCCACACCCAACTGTTGCATCTGGATTTATTTGCTTTTAGTGCAATGGCACTTCGATGGGTATGCAAATTGAATATATGTTTAATTTTTTAGAATTGAAACAGCGTCACGATTGAAATGTTGCACAGAAGCTGTCAACAACTATGGGTAGGTTTAAGAATGCTCTTGAAATAGCCAAAAAAAATTCTAAAAGTTCTTTAACAACAACTTTGAATAGACAACTTAAAAATAATGGTGAACAATAGTTTAGAAAGGACAGTCGACAAAGAAAATACACAGCTATTTGAAACCAAAACAAATAATATGAAGAAAAAAAATTAAAATAGTTGAATAACATTTACAAATGTTTAATATGTTGAAACGCATTTTTTTCGGAAAACAAAGATTTATAAATATATATTTTTTTATTGAAGATAATGCTATATTTAACTTTGAAATTGAATTGGTTTTACAAAAAGTAATTAGCCTGATTGTTTCATATATTACATTCTTCAATATATATATAAATTTTTTTAAGATACCATCATGGCAGAAGCTTAATTAAAAAGTGACAAAGTAACATTAAATTTAATAACTGTCTAACCTAGCACAGAGCTTAAATAAAAATAAGGGATTTAAAAAATAATTGTATTTCCATATAAATTAATAAACAAGCCCTTAATCTATTGGTGGACTTTACATTTTATTTTAACGCCAATTTTCTTTAATAATAATGCTTTCAAAGCATTGGGAAAATTTTGACATTAGCAAAATATGTTGTTTTTAAAGCAAACTTAGTTTATCAGTCTTTTAAGCTGCTTCAGCATGTACAACAATTTATTTATTGCTAAAGGTATACGAACATAGTCATTACATCCCTTAGTCACATACTAAGTATTGCTGCCGCATTCCAATATTTATTTTTCGCTTCCCGCTGTTCCATTTGCAAATTGTATTGCAAACACACTAGCAGCTTTACATTTCCTCTCGCATAATAGCAGTAGTACTTGCCAGTAAAGTGTATTTTTGCAAGTCAGGAATATTATCACGACATTGTGCGTTCGAAAATCTGGCTAATTGCATTTGCATATTTTGATAGTTGGCAAGAAAATTCAATTGGCAATTGCGTAGCTTAACACAAGGTTAAATGCAAAGTAGGGCAATCGACTTCGCCAAGGAAAAACAAAAAAGAAGACTAATGGAGTACGTTTTCTCACTTGAATAAAGCATATAATGAAATGCGTTTAAGAACGAACGCAATTGCTGCAAATGATGGGTAATGATAACGGAAACTTCTACCAATTTATTATTTCAGTTGTAATATGCTCGAGCAATTACGGAATAACTTTTCTCAGCCTGTAGCACAATGAAGTAAATTAGTTGACGAATGTAAATGGCTTAATATACTACTATAATCACCTAAACACTTCAATGGAACATAATTGCTGGGTAATTAAATGCAGATGCTCAGGAAGGAGATAATCAACCTCAGAAGAAGCTAAAGTGCGCGGTAGCTCGATTAATAATTTGAGAATTACATTTCCAATGCATTAATCGCGGTGTGAGGTCTTCAGAAGTTTTTTGAAACTAAAACTTACCACACGCAAAGCTAAAGGGTAGGTGGCGCTACCGGTTCCCACCATATGGTAAGTATTTCCATTTTTTCTGGTGATGGAAGTGCCATGCAAACATTAGAGTTTCCGAAAATAACATTTTAAAATATTTCAATTATATTAAATACATATATAAATAAAAAATCAGTTTTTGTAAGGGCAAAATATTTGTTAAGTAATGTTTTTATAGTAACTTTCATGTATTCAGCCTTCTTGCAAATGTACGACTTCTTCATATTGAAAACTAATATAAAAATAATATTAATCTGATGATGGTGATCTGTCGCTTCGTAATTTTAAGCAGTAGTAATAAAGCTTGCCCATTTAGATAAAGAGGGAACGTATTAAACATTAAATTAATAATACATTGTTACTCTTTCCTTCCCTCTTTTGTTTTGTTGCTTGCTCGCAAGCCTCTCGTGAGTCTCGATTTGTGACTCACAGCAAGCACGTCAAATTGTGCTCACCTCTAGCAATAAAGAACAACAAAATAATCAAGCAACAGCAGCAGCATCTGCTTAGAAAATTCGATAATTAGGCTGCAAAATATACACGAAGCTGAATTAAAATGGCCGCAAAAGTAGGAGGTGCCAGCGCCGCCAAAGTATTTCCAAACGTAAGTGGTTCAAAGCACATGCCGGATAGTCAGTTCGTATTTCCGACGCGAGTAACCTCACTTTGTCTTGCCCGCTGGAGCACGCTTTGGCTTTAAATTAATCCACAACTTTCGGTTCTCCGCAGCACGACGATGTGCACATTTCTTTCGAGGATCAGCAGCGAATCAATCGATTCGCCAAGCATAATGCACGCATGGACGATCTCAAAGTGGAGTTGGACATGAAAAAGAACTCGCTGAAGTGCTTGGAAGAGGCGCTCGAAGAGATTGAGCTGTTTGATGAGGACGAGGACATTCCTTTCCTGGTTGGCGAGGTCTTTCTCTCACACAAACTGGGCAAAACCCAGGTATACCAACAAAGATTTCATATCCAAACGATTTGTGATTTTAAAAATTTGTGCAACTACTTTGCAGGAACTACTCGCAGAGTCCAAGGAACAAACCCTTAAAGAGATAGCCAGCATTGAGGCAAAAGCCAAGGCGATCAAAGCCGAAATGGATGAGTTGAAGGCGCATCTGTATCAGCGTTTCGGCAGCAACATCTCCCTGGAGAGCGATGACTAAGTCAGCGACTTCCGCACCCGTGTTTCATTAATTCGCGTCTTTCAAACCTTATTTAAAATGATTACATTTAATTTAAAAACAAAAAGGCATTTCGTTTCCCTAAACTAGAAAGTAAACAATCAGTCCAATGACTAATAGTGTCACCACCACCCCGCCCCAGAAGATGCGACGATCCTCGACCAGCCGCCGCTCTATGAGCTTCATTGTATGATTCGATAGCCCCAGTGTGCTGCCAATGGCCTGTATGCGTTTGTGTGCTCCACCCAGCGTCATACGCTGCGAAACCAAGCTATCTAGTATGCCACTCCCCGAGGCAATCATGTCGTCCACGCCGCGATGCGCATTTCCCAGTTGGGTGTGGTGTTGCAGCTCATAATCCAACTGCAGACACGTCTCCGCCGGTGCCGCACTATTTGCCGTAAAGCGATGATTCAACAGCTGCTCCCGCTCCGACAATTCCTGCTGTCTACGCTGGCGCCGCTCCCGCGCATGCTGCAATGCGGTTTGCAGATGCCGCAAGTCGTACTTCAACTGGTCCACGCGCAACTTCCAGCTCTGGCGCTGAGACGGCGGCACCTTGAATAGCAGCACATCCAGCCGGTCACAGTTGCTATAAAATTGTATCAAATGATGAAATTACTTTGTTTCTCATCAGGGCCGTGTGGGAGTCCACTTACGAATTGGCTTGAGTAATTTTCATTTGTATGGCATTTTCCACGTCAAGCGTCTCCTCCGGATTTGTTTGACCGATTTGGCCCAAACGTTGAAAACTTTGCTCGATTTCCTTTACGTTGTTGTTCGTTTGATGGTACAAGTTCTCCATAGTGGGCGTGGGCGTTTTTAATTTGGTTGCATTACAAATACGAGTTAAAAATTAATTCGCGTTTCAAAAGCTGACGCGTTGCAATTGCTGAAATGTCATGTTAATGTACAGCGCCCTGATAACAGACCAAATGTTATGTTAAATTAGTTGGCAGTGCTGTAAGACAATGGCAAAAGTTTTACAACACTAGTAACTAATCGATAGCAAAGCCATCGATGTTTTTGCAGCTCAAACTCTAGCATAAACCACAATGGCGAATACATCAAGTACCGGCGTTGGTAAGCATTTAATTTGTTAAAATCACCAATTGCGAACATAATTGCATAAAAAGTAGACGTACGCGTGCCCAGCGATCTTGTGGCGACCTTGCGGAGCGCGTTAATTGTGCGAAAGTGCGGTGGAAAACGTGTGCGCAAAGCGGATTTTTATTGAACGACGATGACGGCCGCAGTCGCAGCGCTGCTACTGCGGCTGCTGTGAAAATGAATAGAAGTCAAAGTCACAAAAGCCGATAAAAAAAAATTTGCCCAGTGTGCATATTTTTATGTGATATTTGCAACATGCGGCCAAATTTCTGGCTGCGAATTTAATGACTTATGACAACCAAATATGCTGCAGTTTGCTCCAATCTCGCTCCGTGACTTGACAGTTTAGGTTGGTCGGTGGCGCTCTCACCCCTTGCGCCTACTCACTGCTTTAGCGTGGCCCCCTTTATGCTTGTACTTGTTTTTTTACGCTTTGCACACTTTTTGGTGTGCTTTGGCTCTTTTTGAAAATTCTAATTAGATTAGCAGCTGCAATTCGTTTTCACACTTCGCTCCAAATGCAAAATATTATGTCTGCGGAAGGTGGCCGACCTGTCGGGCAAACCAACACCTCACCACACCCTGCGTCTGCGGCGCTCATATGATAGATTCTCATTTTTCGGAAATACGAAAATGCGTGCAAAGTGAAACGAGCACAAAAAACAACAACACAAATGCATCGAGCAATAACAACAACAATGCCAACAACGTCGTCAGAGGCTCCAACTACCGCATGACGACGACACCAACAACGTCGATGTCGACCGACCCCGGTCGCCAAACATGCTTAACGGCTTAATTACAGCCTTTTCGCCCATCATATTTCCAATGGCCAATGTTCTTAGCCAATTGTTATATCAGTAGAAGACGCCGCAACGACTAGCACTAACAATTTTATTATTGCTCTTTTTTTTCGCATGCAGTGGTGCCACGAAATTTTCGCCTACTGGAGGAACTGGATCAGGGCCAAAAGGGTGTGGGCGATGGAACCATTTCGTGGGGTCTTGAAAATGATGATGACATGACACTAACCTATTGGATTGGCATGATCATTGGTCCACCTAGAGTAAGTCTAACAATTTCTGCACCCACCCACACGCAAGCAGAAATCAATTACGATTTTTTCAATAATACATTTAAATGCAAACATAATGGAACAGGATTTAAAACCGTCTTTATGTGAAATGTTGCATAAATATGCATATATAAATATGTTGTGTATAAATACACATTATAGGCTAGTCTTGTAAGTCTAGTAGTCAAACAATTGTAGGCTCAGGTCATATACACACTCTAATAGCTTCGACAAGCAGGCATTTGGGAGATATATAGACCAGACCAGAAATAATTGAGGAAGAATATATTTTAAAATTAATCTATAAATCCCATTGATTGAAGTCTATAGCAGCTAGAAATGCAATACTACTCGCCTAGATTCCTCGGATTCATATATATAAAATATATGAAGTAGCTAAATGGTCAATTAGTTTAATTTCAGTTAATAGGTGGTGGAAAAAAATGACTAAGAACTAGTCCTTGAACTCATTTAAATGTTGTGTTTAGTATGCTTGCTCAGCGGCTTCAGGAAGCAGGTCCTTCAGCGCTCACTCCTCAAAAAATAGCTTAGTTTAGATTTGCTTTTTATAAAACCCAGGTATTCAGATAGCAATCATATGTGTAGGTGTTCCAAAATTTAACAAGTGCATAATATTTTGGCATAGAGAAAAACATTTTCAAAATTCGCACAGCAATGTAAAGTGGTGGTTGTTGGGTGGTAAGCGGGCATGATTCATGGCGCCGTCTATGCGGCTATAGTTGCAGTGTCTGAGTCATCAATGCGCTCGGATGAGCAAAGATGTATAGTTTCAGAAATTGATGTGCCATTTGAAGTGTAGGAGGGGAGGGGTTCGGGCGCCTTTTAATTGCAATTAAATTCAATTTGTGCATCTTCTTATATTTTCAGACACCATTCGAGAATCGAATGTACTCACTAAAAATTGAATGCGGCGAGCGTTATCCCGATGAGCCCCCAACGCTCAGATTTTTAACTAAAGTTAATATAAATTGCATTAATCAGAATAATGGTGTGGTAAGTTTGGACTTTTCTACAGCATACGCAATTTACAATTTAACCATATGCTATATTATATCGCAGGTTGATCATAGATCAGTGCCCATGTTAGCCAGATGGAGCCGAGAATACACTATAAAAACGATGCTGCAGGAAATTCGTAGGATTATGACCATGAAAGAGAACTTGAAATTGGCACAACCACCAGAAGGTAGTTGTTTTTAGTCAACAACAACAACTAAAGGAACAGCAACAACAACAACAACAGCAGCAGCACCAACAACAACAACTGCAGCAGCAGCAGCAACTACAACAACAGCAGCAGCACTACACACAACTACAACAACAACAGCAGCAGTGGCAACTTTAAGCTGAAAATGCACGTTCATCACACGGATCGACGACATAGTTGTACGTGCATGTGTGGGCGTGTGTGTTGAGTCTGTGTATGTGCGTGCGTGCGTGTGTGTGTGTGTGTGTGCATGTTACAATAGAAGATGGAGCAAAGTCGCAGCGTTGTTGTTGTTGTGATTGATGCCCAATTGCAGCAGCAATTAAAACAACAACAGCAGCAGCCTGATATACTATATAAGTAAGAGCCGCAACAACAACAGCAACGTCACTATTACTGGTCGTCGTCCCTTCCGTCATCGAACTACGTACTATGTCATCATGTTTTGGTTTATTCTCCCCAACATTCTTGATTAAGAAATAAAAACTTTAAAACAGAAAACCAACAAACCCGAAAAAACAAAAATTCAATCTACATAATTTAGCTCACACGCCCGAAATTTTGCAAAAGGATATAAGAAAAGAAACAGAAAAACATTTATAATAATAATGATAATAAGGAAGAACATAAAGAAAGAATCATGAATGCGAGTTCTTTATCAAAATTATTAATTTTTTAGTTTTTGAAGGTTAAAATGAGAGATGCGTAATTATTGTTTTGCATAAACTATAAAAATTTATTAATTACATACATAAAACAAAAATATATTAATTTAAATAAAACAACAAATCTAAGATAACTTTTTTTAGTAAGCAAAGATTTAATATATAACCAATACAAAGAGCATTTCGCAATCGAAAGATCGAAAGCAGGCGCCAGTACGAGAGTTTGAAGCTTTTTTGAAGATGTCGACTTTTTTTTGTTTACCTCGACGGGGACGAGAGACTCGATTGATTATACAATGTAATCCTTAAATGCGGTATAAACATATATATACATACTAAAAAGGATGAAATGAGTGGGCAGATGAAAAATGATTAAAATAATATTTTAATTTAAATCTAATTGCATAAGCTTCTAAATAAAACAATTAATAATCCAATAAATGAAAAACCGAAACCACAACATGGTTTGCGTTTAATCATTTCGCGACTGGCTTTGGAATGGCGGATAAAGAAAAGGAACTCGATTTCCCTATGCCTTCCCATTGATTTCTTTATCTCTAATTCAATTAAAATGTTAATGTGAGATTCTAAGTCGATCCATAGATTTGGATTGTAATTGTTCAAAATGAAAAACATATTCTGCACACCGATCGTTTTTCAGGCTGCATAATCTGATTGTTTAAAAAGACACCTTTAATTAGTGGAGGAATTAAACTTTATTACGAAGGTTTGTATAAAAACTAACACGTCTGAAAATTTAACTTAATTATATCATGTTTGCAAAAAAAAAAAAATTACTGAGTTTATGCGATTCTATTACTATGCTGGCTGCTCGTATAGTTTTGATTTTCATTTTATAATTTAGTTACCATTTGTAAACAATTTTCAAAGTCAACATCAAATTTAATTACCAGTAACACAAAATTGATGTTTAGACTGGTTTCAATTTTTTTTTATATTCATTACAATAGCATTAATATGACCAAACAAGTAAAAAATCGAAATTCGGGTGTCCCGACTTTGAAATACTCTTTACATATGTTTAGAATAATTATAGAAATTAAAAGAATTACAAAAAAAAAATTGATCGATTTTACCTCTCTCGGTATTAGAACTCACGTAAAGGGTGTATAATTGCACATTTACATAGCAATTGCATATATGTGAGTGTATGAATATATATGCGCGTCTATTCGGTCTGTGTGAACATGTTTGCAGTCAACGAAAGCACCAACATCAACAACAGCTGCGGGCAGCAAATTTATTTATGGCTATAACTTCTTGTTAAATCGGTCTATCACGATGAAACTTGGCATACGGACACTAAGAGGGGCATTTGAGTTCAAAATTCCAAGAATTACGGAAGTTAGAGAAAATCATGATTTGCGGTGGAGAGGGGGGGGGGGGGGGAGGCGAATTCCAAAATGCACATTTTCCGCGTATTCACATAAGGCATCTTGAACTAAAATTTGGTGTTCCTATGTTATATGGTCTCCGATATATATGCGATTATACGAACGGAAAATCGGGAAAACCCCCAAAGGGGGAAGTGAGCGGGAAATTCATCCAAAAAAATACAAACTTTTGCAAGTACACACATAAAGCACCTTTGTGCAAAGTTTGGTGTCTCTAGCTCTCATAGTCTCTGAGATCCAGGTGTTCATACGAACAGACGGACAGACCGCAGACACTTTGTGGGGTCTGCCACGCCTCCTTCTGCCTGTTACATTTTTCAACTCCCGCAAACCGAATATACTATTGTATAGTACATTTTATGTACAGAGTATAAAAAGTATTGAAAATGTGACCAAATTGGTGCAACGAAATCTATTCGAGGACTTATTTAAATTGAAACATTATGATATCCGAAAAGTACAATAATAATGATGAAATAATCAACAAACACTCACTTTGCCGCCATCCTTTCATATTTGTTGGATCAACTGTGTCAATATTAGTTCCATTATTTCAATATATCTTTTATTTCAGCCACAAATACCGTACATTATTAAGCAATAATGTAATTTGTAATCGAATTCAAATTATTTTCTATTTTTCCTTTTCTTTTAAAAGCAGAATATTAAACACTTGAGAAGCGATTGATTTAGTTTCCATTAAAAATAGTCTTCAATTAATGTAGCAAGTGATTATTTTGTGTGGAACTGCGGATTAGAAGAATCCAACTTGTTATGTTGTGGTCCTCTCTGACGAATTTTCATTTGGTATAGCTACATGGTATAGCTACATAATAATCGACTTATCTAATCGGAAATAAAAAAATGTTCACATACAAACATATGTAATGAGTCTATATTGTTCAAATTATTGTTGTGTCTGATCGTAACTAAGCACTATTTTTATGACACAACCAATTCCAAGTTTCTGGAAAATGTGTGTGATAAACAAAAACTGAATCGAAAATATTGCTTTAAATGTAGAAAACATGCCATTTTCAACATATATTATTATAACATTACAAAAATAAGGAAACTGAGTTACTTATCGCTTAGTTATTCCCTATTCCAAATATATATTAAGAACCGAATAGCACACGATATAAGTGGTGTTCTTGAAAATGGCCCAACGACCGATTTGAAAAAAAATCACCAAATTTAATAGAATACACTGATAATTCAATTTTAACTCAGATCAGACTTCGAGTTGACAGTTGACAGATAGTTGACAGATATTCTTTGAAACATCTGTAAAGAGCTGCTCGGAAAAACAGATTTAAAATCAAAGTAAGTTGCTGGAATGCCCCTATGTTTTCTTTACACTTTACGCACCCGAGTTTATAGAATTATTTCAAAATTGATTTCTTAATGACAGTATTTTGCAATGTTCCTGTTTACACTGCAGATATACTTATAAACAGCTGTTCGAAAAACCCAATTTTAAATCGAATTTAGTTGCTGGAATGCCCCTACGGTTTCTTCACACTATACGCCTCCGAGATTAAGGAATAATTTACTTTCCTGGTTACACTGCAGATATTCTTTGAAACATCAATAAACGACGGTTCGAAAACACCGATTTTAAATCAAATGTTGTTACAGGAATGCCCCTATGGTCACACTTTACGTTCTCGAGCTTAATGAACTATTTGGTTATTACTATATTGGCTTAGATGTAGAAAAAGTTAACTTACCATTGAATTATTTAAAAAGATATGTATGCGTTTGTAGTTTCAGAAAGCATTTTTCAAAGCAACACAAGATATTTGGGATATTACCTGTGTATGTCAAGGACATCTATAAAGTGTAACACAGCCGGTTTGAATTCAAACCTTGACGACTTGAGGCTTAAAGCGGTAGTTCAATTTTTTAATTGGTTTATTTAAATACATAGTTTGAATTATAGATTTATACAATAAATGTAACATTATCCATGATTCTCATTTAGCTAGGCCGCTGGTTTTCTTCTTCTTCTTTTTATTTGTGGGTGTGTTCTTCCATTACATTTCTCAATTTTAATTAGCGGCCGATATCTGCTGCTACATCGATTTTTTTAACACTATGCTTTTGGTTTATGTTTTTTAATTGTTGTTGTAGTTGTTCCTGCTGTTCAATTGGTTATGGGCTAGGGTGTCTGTTAATCCCACATTGAATTGTGTGTGTGAACTTTGTTTTGCTTAACATTGATTTATTTATTAGTCGATAAAGCCGCGTTAACACTGCAATTCACGTCAAATCAAATTTAAACAATTCTACTTGTCCTTGGGCACGAACACGATCTTTCGCGACTTCAAGGTGGACCACTTGTGTCGCTTAATATAATACGCAATGGCAGTCAGGAAGGTCAATATGCCAATTACTTTAATGAGCAGCTGCTTGCGATCGTCGTGCTCCGGCTCGGATGTCCACTTGAGGAACGTGGCCACATCCTTGGCCAATTGACTCTGTGTTGGCGGTGTGCCATCCTCGTACTCAATGACCTGATAAATTGATTTAACTTTAATTTTTGATCTTTCGAGCAGTTAACTTCATTTTACTTGCCTCATTGTACAAGACTTGTGCCATGGAAATGGCACCGCCAGGGAAGTACGGATTGAAGTACTGACCCTCACGCAGCACAACACCAGCTGGCGCATCATGGTAGCCCGTTAGCAGTGCAAAGATGTAATCCTCGCCACCCTTGCGAGCCGACACAATGTAGCTAAGATCGGGTGGATAAGCACCGTTGTTGGCAGCACGTGCCGCTTCCTCATTGGGATACGGCGATGGGAAATAGTCCGACAGTTTGCCGGGGCGGGTGTAGTAGTTGCCGGTATCATCGGGACCGTCTTTAACCTGTAAAGGAAATTAAAAAATGTATAAAATTATAGACGTCTTTCGAGCTACTATTAGTCCTAGAAATAAGATCTGTCCAGATCTACAAAACTTAGCTGTCTAGCTTAAGCGAGCTCATAGTTACGTCAGGCTTCTTAAAGGTAAGGACCGGTCATGAAACCACTATTGATAAGAAATTTACAATAATTTTTTAACGATTTGCTTAAGACCCTACTATTTTCTGCGCTCTTGCATATATTTACATAGGCGATGGTGTTAGGATCTTCGGTCATCCCATTCCCAAGGTCAACTCACCGTGATCTGCTCGGCTTCAGCCTTAGCCTCGGCTTCGGTATGGCTGACACCAATCAGATTGCGGTAGGCAATGTACTGCATCGAGTGGCAGGCGGAGCACACCTGCTTGTACACCTCATAGCCTCGGCGTACGCTTTAAAAAGTGAGACAAAAATAAAATTAAATATGATAATTGGCATTGTTCAGCAATATAGACGCTTACCTCTGGTGATCCAGTGAGGAGAAGAGACCGCGATGAGTCCAGGGCTGGGCCGGCGAGTGCACCTCAGTGCCGGATGCCTCCACGGATTGCTCGAGTGCGAAAAGCAGAGCGCCAACGCCGCCGGTAATGGCTCCAACAGCGCCGATCAGCTGTTTTCGACACGCACACAAACAGCAACAACAAGAACAGCGTCAACCGATGATTGTGGAGCAAACGCATTTAGAGGTTAGGACCGATCGGCTATTATGAAATGCTATGTTCAATTTGGTGGCTTACCTTTTTGTGGCTATTCGCCCAGTTTGTAGCCGAGGACAGGTTCTTTGCCTGCAAAGAATTCAAATTCCATTATACTTTTATCGAAGCGAGACTTAACTAATCGCACATATCATTTTTGCATGGAGTTACATAATTTTTGAGGTCGGGTAATCTCAGTGAATTGACCAATTTACGAAGCCTGGTCCAAAATTAAAACTAACAGTGCACTTAGACTCTCAGATATTGAACAATGTCACACGAGTGTTTTTCACTATTTAGCATAGAAACAAAAATACCATTTTTTGCACAGACATACTACACTCGAAAGTGGTGGCTGTGAAAATTTTTGATTTGGTGTGGCCCCGGTTTTACCTGCTGCAGATTAAGGGCGGGCGTAGATTTTAGAAATCTCAAGCCATGTAATCTTCGCAATGTCGCTGCCATGCTGGCCGGAGTACACTTTTTCGTCTGGTCGTGTAAGGAAACTTTAAGGGCAGCGCCAATCTATCTATTCCACTGGCACTGGCTCTCGATGGCAGATGTTTACTCGCCACTCTGTGCGTGTCCAAGTTGTCTCGTTATTGTTGGTGGTTGCGCGTGAGAACGAACCACTCATCGATAGTCGAGTATTTGCGCTGCGTCAATCTAGTTGGCATTTCCTATCGAGTGATCTAGTTCCAATTGGAATCGATATGTAGCGAGTGCTGAGATGGATTTTTAGATGTCCTTTGTAGAATTTCCCTAGTCCTTTGTGTGCTTCCATGTTATTTTCTTGCTTTATTTATTTTGTAAGACTTACATACATATATATAATTAATAAATATTGGGGGGAACTCTTTTTAGGAAGTAACGAGAACTACTTATATATTATTTTCTTTAAATCTATATTCTTCTTCTTTATTTAAGATCTGTCCTAAGGTTGGACAATTGTTATATTTTATGATAACTTTAACATTTTGTGTTAATGCTTCTTGTCCTGGTGGTTGCGGCGTTATTCGAACCGAGTACCTACTTAAGGAATTGTGGGATTCCTGCTAGCTCGTTGAGCTAAAAATAAAACATTGCTTTCTTTTGTTTGTCTTTAACTGAAGAGTGAAAAATCTTTCCATTTCAGTCTGGAATAAAAATAAAATAAAATAAATAATCCTAAGACATTTAAGCTGATCTTCCCTTTCAATGATACTCGTACAGTTTTTTGATCGGCGTGTCGATGCGATCTTTTCAATAGTTTGAAAAGCTGTTTTCATCTCATTTATTTGGATTAAAAAACCTATAGAGGAAAATGTGAATTTTTATGTTATAATAAATTTATTTCGCAATTGTCACAGAAAATTAAATGAAATAATAGGGATAAGCAAAGGCTAAAATGTTCTTCAATATTTGCATGGTTGAGTTTAATTTAATTGCATTAATTGTCTTTATTTATATTTAAATATTTTCATATTAAATGTTAATGTTTGCTCTGTTTCTGAAAGTGTGTTTAATGTTTGATGAGAAATTTTTATTTAACTTCTGTTATGTTATTATATTAAATATCACAGATATTATATATTTCTATATGTGCATTAAAATAACATTAATTCTGATACATTTTTTCAGCATTTCAATAAACGGGCGTAAATTATAATGGCCTTGGGCAGTACATTAGAAAAGTAAATCATTATGTTCCCATATATTCGCTTTAATTAAAACAATCTTCAGATAATTTCCAAGAAGGACTTTTGTTGCTCAAGTGCTGCCAGACTCTTAAAAAAGTAAAACTACAATCCAATAGCGTTGCCACAGCTTTCAATGCAGCTCAATAACATCTTTTAGCGGTAACATTGCCAAATGTACACATCTCTAGCGCGTTTTGCAACATTACATTTTTTGTTGCACACGAATCTAAGCAACGGTGCATAAACAAATGTGAAGAAAAATCGCTTTCATTGATTTCCATTTAGTGCGGGGAGCACCAAAAGTTGCATTTTAGAAAAGCCCATTTAGGAACAATTCAGAGAGAGACGCAAAATGCCACAGGAACAGAATACGTCGTCGCAGCCACAGCCACAGCTCGATGACGAAATCGAAAATGTGCGTGTGGTGGTGCGCAGTCGACCGATGGACAAAAATGAGCTGTCCGGGGGAGCGTTGAGTGCCATATCGGTGGATAAAATCAATCGAGCCATCACAGTTATAAAGCCCAATGCCACGGCCAACGAACCTCCTAAGACATACTATTTTGATAACGTCTTCGATGGCAACTCAAATCAGCTCGATCTGTACGTGGACACGGCGCGTCCGATTGTCGATAAGGTGCTCGAGGGCTACAATGGCACCATACTGGCGTATGGACAAACCGGAACGGGCAAGACCTACACGATGTCCGGGAATCCGGATTCGCCACAGACGAAGGGCATCATTCCGAATGCATTTGCGCACATCTTCGGGCACATTGCAAAAGCCCGTGAGAACCAAAAGTTTCTGGTGCGTGTGAGCTATATGGAGATTTACAACGAGGAAGTGCGCGATCTGCTAGGCAAGGATGTAAGCAAGAGTCTGGAGGTAAAGGAGCGTCCCGATATTGGCGTTTTCGTAAAGGATCTCAGCGGCTATGTGGTGCACAATGCGGACGATTTGGAGAACATAATGCGTTTGGGTAACAAGAATCGCGCTGTGGGTGCCACCAAAATGAATCAAGAGTCCTCGCGCTCGCACGCCATCTTCTCCATCACGGTGGAGAGCAGCGAGCTGGGTGAGGGTGGAGTTCAACACGTGCGCATGGGAAAGCTGCAGCTCGTCGATCTGGCGGGCTCTGAGCGCCAGTCAAAGACGCAGGCGACGGGCCAGCGGCTGAAGGAGGCTACCAAGATCAATCTGTCGCTTTCGGTGCTTGGCAATGTGATTAGTGCGCTCGTCGATGGCAAGAGCACGCACATTCCGTATCGCAATTCGAAGCTGACGCGCCTGCTGCAGGACTCCTTGGGAGGCAACTCCAAGACGGTCATGTGCGCCACCATTAGTCCCGCCGATTGCAATTATATGGAGACAATTTCGACTCTGCGCTATGCCAGTCGCGCCAAAAACATACAGAATCGCATGCACATCAATGAGGAGCCCAAAGATGCACTGTTGCGACACTTTCAGGAGGAGATTGCACGTTTGCGCAAACAACTGGAAGAGGGCACGTTCGAGGAGGAGCTACAGAGTGCCGAAGAGGAGGATGAGAGCCCCGAAGATGATGAATTGGAGACGCCGTTGGAAATAGATCTGGAATCATCAGTCACACCAGTGTGCGCCAATGGCAAAAAGCCCAAAAAGAAGCGTGAAAAGACCGATGAGGAGAAGGAGGAGCTGGCCATGCGCAAGACCGAACATCAGCGAGAAATTGAGCACGCAAAATCCGAGCAGGAACAACTGCGCACCAAGCTCGTCTCTCTCGAGGGCAAAATTCTGGTCGGCGGCGAGAATTTGCTGGAGAAGGCACACACCCAGGAACAACTGCTCGAACAGTCCATAGCTGAGCTGGAGGAGCGCGAGAAATCCGAGCAGGCACTGCGGCAGACTCTGCAGCAAAAGGCCACCGAACGCATAGACATCGAGGAACGTTACTCCACACTTCAGGATGCCAGCACAGGCATTACCAAGAAAATACATCGGGTCATGCAAATGCTGATGGGAGTCAAATCGGAGCTGGCCGATCAGCAGCAAGAACATCAGCGCGAAAAGGAGGGCATCTATGAAAACATACGCAGTCTATCCCGCGAATTGGCGCTCTGCGAGTTGGTGCTTAACTCTTATGTGCCCAAGGAGTACCAGTCGATGATCAATCAGTATACCCATTGGAACGAAGACATTGGCGAATGGCAACTCAAATGCGTCGCCTATACGGGCAACAACATGCGGAAGCACATCTCCGCCCATAAGAGCAGCGGCAAGGAACCGGAATTCGTCGATCTCTCGCATGTCTATCTCAGCTATAACACCGATGGTGTGTCCAATCCGGTGCGCTCCAAGTCCGCAGCGCGACCACGTACCTCCGGTGTTCCGAGACCGACCACAGCAAGGCGATATTGAAGTGTAAACATTCTATCTGGGCTGCGGGCACAGTTTTGGTTTCTGCTCTTGTTGATTTTACTTTTCTATGGCTTGAAGTTTTTATGCTCAGCGAATTTAAATTTAATTTGATTCTGCCTTCTCTCCTACTCTCAATACACAGGTATTATCTATGTCAGACTTTTCGTTAGTCTTTTGTTAATTTATTGTTTAGGTGACTTTTAGTTGAACTATTTTTAAAGCTACATTTAGATTGAACAAATCAAAATAGGGTGCAATACATTCTAGTTTATTCTTTAAATTAATACATACAACTAAGCTGTTTACATAATTCAAGCACAAAGTTGCATACATTTTAAGCTCCGCTTTATAATTATACAAATATGTGGAATATTCAGAGATAGTGTGACGTGCTTTTGGCTTTTAAATAAAATTGATAATTTATTATCCTGCAATTTTAAGAATTTGTTGTTTGAACTATTCAAGTGGTTGTTAATCACAGATCTTTCAAATATTAATTTTGTTTCTTATATTGTTTATTTTGCCACATAACTTGGATTGCTGCCATAAACTGGATTTCGGACAAAACTGAACATTGGCGCGCAAGAGCCAAGCTGGTTCCATAGTGTAGCGGTTATCACGTCTGCTTTACACGCAGAAGGTCTCCGGTTCGATCCCGGATGGAACCAGAACAAGAGGTTCATTTTTATATTATATTATGCTGCTTATAAAGTAATTTATTCGTTTTGTTTATTCTCAGTAAATTTTTATTTAAAGTGTTAAAAATGTATTTTAAATTGCACAAGTTCTTTGAAAAATTAAAAAGATTTGGTAAAAAATTTAAAAATATGCACGAAAATAAACGGTACAATCACCAACAAAATAGTAATATTAAATTCTATAAGGGACCCCGTTAAATAAATATATGCACTTAACTGTAAAACAAAAATTTAAGAAAAAAAAAATAAAAAAGTAGCCCATCTTGGTTCCATCCGGGATCGAACCGGAGACCTTCTGCGTGTAAAGCAGACGTGATAACCGCTACACTATGGAACCAGTTGTGAATTGTCTGCCAAAATACATATAGAAATGTTACCCTGATAAACAAAACATGATGCTCAATAAAAAATATTTTCCGACTTTTATTTCAAAGCAGTAGCATCGCCATTGTGTTCGAGATTTTTTCGTTCACATTGGTTTTTTCTTTGACTTGAAAATCAGTTAAAGAGCCTTTGTTTTGAAAAGCTAGTAGAGACTATTCCTAAATATATAAATATTATTATATATGTATGTACGTATTAAAATCAATAATAATCTTGTTTTATTTTTTCAAAAAGTTAAGTTAAGCTGATCAGTTTAAAATCTGTTGAAATTTTTGATTTGTTATATACTAATCCCAAGTAGAGATTTCCAAAATAGTAAAAAAACAAATCTTAAATGCCAAGTATGCAAAATTGTAGGCGTAAACTGTAGACATTTTAAAATAATCGGGCAACCAAAGTCCCCAAAAATTATATGCAATAAAGTGTTTATCAATAAATTTGATTGAACTAATACTACACTTTTTTATGAAAAGAAAGCAACTATTCAGTTGAAGATCCACCTATAGGCAGTTGGCAATGTATTTAACTTTTTGTAAAAGTTAAAAAAATGAGTGAAATTTTAACAAAATTTCTCGAAACTGGATAGAGGGATACAATTATTGGACTTAGCCGGCAGTGTCGGGTTGGAAGATGCTAAATGCTTATGTATTTACTACCAATTTGTAGAATACAATCAGAAAATTAAAAAATTATCGTTAAGAACTAAATAATTTAAAACGAATTCTCTTAAAAAGTAATCTGTTCCTCTCCTCTTAATATAATTTTAGAAAGATACAAAAATCCGAGTAAAAGATACAAATAACTAAAGCATCTGACGCTTTTAATATTACAATGCTTGTGTGTGTTACAGTGCCTTACTAGCTAATATTTCAAGATATTACAGAGACTCTTTAATGATAAATAACTCGGCATAAAAAGTCCGTAAACTTATCATGTCAATGGAGTTTTAACTAATGGTTTATTTAATAATCCCAAAAATTTAGCCATTTACTAAAATAAATAAAAACACACATGAGATGAGCATTTGTTTGTTGTTAAAAGTAAATATTCAGAGTCTGAACATCCTCCTCTTGGTGTGCATATAAATCGGACACCATTCCTACCTGAACGCATTGTTCGATTCACAATCAGGTTCTGGTACCCTTATTATGCTGATTCACTCAAAACGGATGTGTTTCATTGCACAGTTTGGCAAACATGAGCTGATAACACAGTCCGAAACTGTACTTTTTCTATTTTTTCGTTTTCGGTTCTTATTAATTGCTGAAGTAATTTTGTTCCGACCACACGTACAACCATATTTGTATTATTTATTTCGTTGGAAACAGCACGCATTTGTGGACCCTCTTATCGGCACGATTTACTCTTGCCATTGGGGGTTTGCCACCGCTAATCGGGGGCGTGCACATTTTTCGGAGTTCCACTCAAAGTGTCGTCCGTCTCTGTATTATCTGTCTGTGTGATGTCACGAATAACTGTTCAATATATAACAACAAATTGTTTCGAAACTGTGAGAGAGGCATGAAGTTAAATTTAAATAAGTGAGTGACCGATCGTTCGTCTCGACTCGCGAGTGCTAATTGAGCGGAAATGCCAAGCATTTAACGTGTACACTATGCAACAAAGTATGAATTTGACAAATAGATAACATACTATATATTTTATTATAAAGAGAAAGGGAGTACATTGATCTGTAATTAGAATAATATGAGTTTTATTTATTGGAAATGCCAAGAACTTAACGTGTACACTTTTCAACACAAATTGTGTAATTTACAGATGGAAAACATATATTTTAATAAAGTAGGGAGGAAAATTGCTCAGCAAATTGAAATAAAGCGTATTTTTAATTATATGGATTTTTAACGGCCTTAAAGAGTGAAAACTGCATCTTATAATGATGTGTTTTAGATTCAACTGCTGGTTTGTGCCATTTCGTTAAACACAAAAAGCACTCAACAGTCCAGTGGTCATTGATTTGAAAATTTAGATTTAAAATATAGCTAGTTCTGAGTGTTATAAAGTAAGTAAAATTGTGGAATGTTACATTACAATGTTAGAAACATGAATAATTATATAAGAAGAAAAAAACTAATACCGTTTTTACTAAACTTCTTAAAAATTGAATTGAACTTTCAATAATTTAATTTTTCAATTATCTAATAAAGGTTTGGATGTCTTGTTATTTTTATTTTGTACATAGTATTTTTTATTAATGTGATCAGCTGCATTTAAAACTTTATTAATATAAATCACTTTTTAAAATTAATTTCAAAGATTGTTTTCTAAAAGGTACTTTCATGAATATTTACAATTTTGAGAAAACTTCCAATCAAACTGTAATTGAATTGTTTTCAGTAAGTAACAAATGGCATTTGTGGTTCAAAGTGCACGGCCTCTTCAATGAGTTGAAGCATGGTCGGGCTGCAATATTTTGTAGCGCAGTGTAATTGAGTCGAATACGGTCTCGCACTTTCTGCGACAGACACGAATGCGGCGTTCGTTAACTTTCAGTTGAAAACTGTTAACGCTGATCGTAAAACGTGCGGGTCTCGCATTGCGAAACGGAAAAAAAGTGTATTTTAATTTGTCATTTCTGTAACTTCTGTGTTGATTTTTAAACATATTTCAATTTCAACTGAACGTGCAATCGCCGACACTAAAAATATACATATATACATAAAGAGAAGAGATCGAAATAAAAAACCTCGTGTGTACAAAAAGCGGCACAACATTCTCAGTGATATACACATATTAACAATACATACACACACCATATATAATTAGTAGCTCGGCTGATATTTAAACAGCGCATAGCAACAGTTTAAATGTGAACAGCGCAAACATTTTATAAATATATGTGCAATTATTGTTAAACACTTTTAAAAGGCATTATTTTTTGAAAAGCGAATAGCAAAGACCCGTGAAAAGAAACAAAAAACTGACTTTTGTGCTGTTCCAATGTAGCCCTTCATGGATAATTAACACGAACGCGCTTTGAGACTTGAGTTTCGTGTTAAAAATATAATAGCTGTGACAAATAAAGTAGCAAAAAAGTAACAAATTAGTTTAAACGTATTAAGAAGCAGAAGTAAAAAATTCATTCAACAAACACTGTGACATCCAAGTGAGTCACGAGCGACACAAAAATTTCCGGTGAGTAAGTCACAATAAATGAGATCAAACAAAGTCCAATTGGCCAAAATAAAGTTGATCAAACGAGAATGTTGTTAAGCATTAAGACATACTATTATCAATTACGAGCATATTTAGCAAATTTGTAGACGTCGTCGTTATTTTTGCGAAACACCCGGCAAATATGTATGCACGCTTTAAAATAGGCCAGACGATTGTTAAATAAAAATCAGGTCAACATTTTGCAATACAATTTACACTTCTTTTTAACAAATATAGTACAGTACATATTTGCTTGCTTAACTGAAATGCGCAAAAGGCACAATTTGTGCATTGCCTTCAAGTCCAATGATCATCACATCATACGCATCTCAATTGTTCAGAGAACACAGCACATGATGGTGCAGTTTGTTGTACTATATGGTGCGACGTAATTTGTAAGGGTGGTTCGAAGTACACATCCATACATATGTACATACATGTAGGTATGTATGTACACTTACCAGTGAAAAGGTTCAACTGCCGGGAGAGCTAACCTGCGCGAAAGGTTCAGTTGCCTTTGCAACCGGTCTTTGCAGCAACCACTTATAACATTTGACTCAAAAGTTTGGAATCAAAGCCTTTATTGTTGTTCTTATTTAGGGTATTTTTCGATCTATTTTTGGCGAGCGATAAGGCCAATTGCCAATAACTGGGCCCTGATTACTAGATGATTCATATACAAGTATATGTCTGGTATTGCCGGAAATAAGATAACAGTTCGCCAGAACGCTACATTAGAGATATGGAGGCCTTGCAAATGGCAAGCCGTTGCTTGACTTCAACATCGTGTCAACCCTAGTCACTTTTAGGGTCATACAAGGTTCCCATTGGGCGTTGACTTCAGGTTCAGTATAACACTAGCGCCGACGTCGAATCAACAATTTGACTTTAACAAACAAGCCGTCATGCCAAACAGATTTCGACGCAAGTGCTTAAAAATACTTGACGAATTTACGTAGACGTAGATATTCTTGTTTTCCATGCATACTATATATGCACATATTTATCTGATTAGATAAGATTTTGCACGACTTGAGCAAGCAGTGTCATATGGAGAGCAGCCCCCGAGCGGACACATATATCAAAAGATATGACATTCAGTAACCGTCGGGCAAAGAGCTAGATTGTGAAAAGAGATAGGACCAAGCATGTGTTATAACACCGAAATTTAAAGATCGAGCAAATCATTATATGCATTAAAAATAATAAAATTTGTAGTTTTAAAAAGGAGATTTAAAAAAGTCTTGCAATAATTGGGTAGTTAGATAATTACAGATCTGGGTTCCACTATTTTTTATTCTATTTTCATCTCTCGTAACTTTTATTTCAAAGCTTAAATTCATATTATTATAAAGGATTATTTAAAAATGAGATTTAAAAATATTCTTGCAGTAATTCAGTAGTTAATGAAATACGAATCTATGCTGTAAGGGTTTCACTATTTTTTATTCTACGAGTATTTTCATCTCTCGTAACTTTTATTTCAATCCCTAATTGCTTTCATAATTGTTTAATAAAAGCATTTAAATTGTATACTATTTAAATATTTATAATATTTGCCACCAATTCGTAAACTTTTACCAAAATGTCTCGAAAAAATATACACAAATCTTATATTAGTTGAAAAGTAATCACAATTTTAAAAATGCTTAGCGTTCGATCAATTTTGTAAATTTGTATTTTGTTGTTCTATTTTAAGATTAAGTAAAGAAAATATACTTTAGCTAACCAATCACGCTTATTTCAATTTGTTAACTAAAGCTATGTATACTTTTTTGAAACCTTAAAGTACTTAAAAACACATGGCACACCTTTTAAAGATCGCATGTTTTTAAGAAGGCAGTTGAAAACTTCTTATTATGCGAGGAGGCAAACGCCGTAATCATTAAGTTTCCAACCTATTTTTATAAGCAAATGTGCATATGAGACAAGACTTTTAAATAATTTACCAAAAATATCAAAAAAGACAGTCAAACCTCAGAAGTTCACAATTCACACAATTGTACTGATTTGTAAATCGTTGGTTGCTCTCAGCAACATACGAAAAAGTAAAAGTTTCTACGTCAGCCGGTAAGTTTACGCACAAAAAAGCCAATGGCCTACAAAACTAACTCAAACGAATGAGAAAACAGAATCTCTAAAAATAATCTCAAATTACCCCCAAAACATTAAACTCACGTAGTCAGCAGTGGCTTACCGCCTGGCAACAGCCTCGAGTCAAGCCAGGTTCCACATCGGGTTCGCATCAGCGTCTTCATTATTATGATTAACTTGATTATTGTTATGGTCTCATGATAATGATGATCGTCTGCGTTGTGGGACCAACAAACAAATAAAAGGCAATAAAAACTATTAAACTACAGCGGCGACGCCACTACCATGCGTTATCGTCACATGCTGAGGGGCAGGTCTTTTCCGAGAAGTTGTCAGGCCGCTTATTGAGAACGCCAGCCAGCCGCAGAGAGTGATCGGGAATCGGAGCTATTGTTTCTTTCATTCACACACATTCCCAGGCACATGCACAGACGATTGAGGTCAAAATCCTTGAGGTTCTTGTCCTTCCACCTCTAAGCGCTCTGTTGTCTGCGCAAGCGTGTCTGTCTCTCTGCCTGCCTGCCTGCCTGTCTGTCTGGAATGTTGGCAGGCATGTGAATTTTCATTTGTACTCTACATACTTGTACTGTAATGTACTTTGCTATTGACCGACTTGAAATTGGCTAATCGCATCTAATGGTCCTCGTTTGAGTACAGCTGCGACACTTTCAAGGTTGTTTTACGAGTATAATCCTATATAGGGGGCTAGCTTTGTATACCTAGTGCCTGAAGCGTGAAGGGGTATGCTTCTAAATTCGTAGCCTATGTATCAACAGGCAAAACTAATAATAATAAGTGAAGAAATCGGTGTAGCCATGTCTACTAATCTACTTATTTATATTGGTTTTTAAAATCGGTGAAAAGCTATTTAAATCAAATTTGATATATCCTTGGCTTATACATGTATTGATTGATTGAGGTCTGATTTGAGCTATCGGATATCGGACTATATTCTGAAGCAGTCATAGAAATGAAAACTTCTTTCTATAAACAATTGGAAAGTTCTATAATAGAAATAATAATGCTCCAAGTTAGGGTCAGATCAAATTATAATGCCATATTGCTGTCACAGTTATTGAAAAATTGATATAAGTTTGAAATACCGAACCCACGTACATACGTTTACGTACTTGTTGACTTCTTTTTAAATATTATGTTATATAAATGTCTGGTAACGCCAATTGATTAAGAGCATTTTCAAGTTAGGGCCAGATCCAGCTATAGCTGTCAAAGTTGATATAAGTTTGAAGTACCGAACCCACGTACATACGTTTACGTACTTGTTGACTTCTTTTCAATTATTGGGTTATATAAATGTCTGGCAACGCCAATTGATTAAGAGCATTTTCAAGTTAGGGCCAGATCCAGCTATAGCTGTCAAAGTTGATATAAGTTTGAAGTACCGAACCCACGTACATACGTTTACGTACTTGTTGACTTATTTTCAATGATTATCTATGTTATATAAATGTCTGGCAGCGCCAATTGATTAAGAGCATTTTCAATTTAGGGCCAGATCCAGCTATAGCTGTCAAAGTTGATATAAGTTTGAAGTACCGAACCCACGTACATACGTTTACGTACTTGTTGACTTATTTTCAATGATTATCTATGTTATATAAATGTCTGGCAGCGCCAATTGATTAAGAGCATTTTCAATTTAGGGCCAGATCCAGCTATAGCTGTCAAAGTTGATATAAGTTTGAAGTACCGAACCCACGTACATACGTTTACGTACTTGTTGACTTATTTTCAATGATTATCTATGTTATATAAATGTCTGGCAGCGCCAATTGATTAAGAGCATTTTCAATTTAGGGCCAGATCCAGCTATAGCTGTCAAAGTTGATATAAGTTTGAAGTACCGAACCCACGTACATACGTTTACGTACTTGTTCACTTATTTTCAATGATTATCTATGTTATATAAATGTCTGGCAACGCCAATTGATTAAGAGCATTTTCAAGTTAGGGCCAGATCCAGCTATAGCTGTCAAAGTTGATATAAGTTTGAAGTACCGAACCCACGTACATACGTTTACGTACTTGTTGACTTATTTTCAATGATTATCTATGTTATATAAATGTCTGGCAGCGCCAATTGATTAAGAGCATTTTCAATTTAGGGCCAGATCCAGCTATAGCTGTCAAAGTTGATATAAGTTTGAAGTACCGAACCCACGTACATACGTTTACGTACTTGTTCACTTATTTTCAATGATTATCTATGTTATATAAATGTCTGGCAACGCCAATTGATTAAGAGCATTTTCAAGTTAGGGCCAGATCCAGCTATAGCTGTCAAAGTTGATATAAGTTTGAAGTACCGAACCCACGTACATACGTTTACGTACTTGTTCACTTATTTTCAATGATTATCTATGTTATATAAATGTCTGGCAGCGCCAATTGATTAAGAGCATTTTCAATTTAGGGCCAGATCCAGCTATAGCTGTCAAAGTTGATATAAGTTTGAAGTACCGAACCCACGTACATACGTTTACGTACTTGTTGACTTATTTTCAATGATTATCTATGTTATATAAATGTCTGGCAGCGCCAATTGATTAAGAGCATTTTCAATTTAGGGCCAGATCCAGCTATAGCTGTCAAAGTTGATATAAGTTTGAAGTACCGAACCCACGTACATACGTTTACGTACTTGTTCACTTATTTTCAATGATTATCTATGTTATATAAATGTCTGGCAACGCCAATTGATTAAGAGCATTTTCAAGTTAGGGCCAGATCCAGCTATAGCTGTCAAAGTTGATATAAGTTTGAAGTACCGAACCCACGTACATACGTTTACGTACTTGTTGACTTATTTTCAATGATTATCTATGTTATATAAATGTCTGGCAACGCCAATTGATTAAGAGCAT